GATAAAATGAATTTGGGAGGATTCCGTCCTTTTGTTCTGAAATAGTTTGAGTAGGATTGGTATCAGTTCTTCTCTGAATGTTCAGCATAATTCTCCCATGAAACCATCTGGGCCAGGGCTTTTTTTTTGTTGGTAATTTTTTTATGACTTGTTCTATTTCTTCTTTTGGTATAGTTCTGTTTAAATTTTCCACCTTAGCTTCTGTTAGTTTAGGTAAGCAGTATGTTTCTAAAAATCTGTCCATTTCTTCTAGACTTTCAAATTTGTTGGAGTATAGTTCTTCATAGTATCCTGATATTTTCCTTTTGATTTCTGTTGGTTCTGTTGTGGCATCGCCCAATTCATTTCTTATTCTTGTTATTTGTATTCTCTCCCTCTTTTCATTTGTTAAATTTGCCAGTGGTTTTTCAATTTTATTAATCTTTAAAAGAACCAACTTCTAGTCTTGTTAATTTTTTTTCTGTTATCTTTCTATTTTCTATTTCATTTATTTCTGCTCAAATCTTTATTATTTCTTTTCTTCTGGTGACTATAGGCTTTTATTCCTGCTCTTTTTATCTAATTGTTGGAGATGTTGGATTAAAGTGTTGATTTTGGCTCTTTCTTCTTTTTTAATGTGTGCATTTATTGCTGTAAATTGGCCTCTGATCACTGCTTTTGCTGTGTCCCACAAGATTTTGGTATGTTGTGTTTTCATTCTCATTTGATTCAAGGAAATTTTTTATTTCATTTTTATTTCTTTTATTACCCAGTCATTTTCAAGGAGGGTGTTATTCAGTTTCCATGTGTTTGCTCTTTTTCTATTCATCTTCTTATTGTTGATTTCTTATTTTACAACATTGTGATCTGAGAAGATCCTTTGCAGTATTTCAGTGTTTTTTAATTTATTGAGGCTTTCTTTTTGGCCTAACATATGGTCTGTCCTGGAGAATGTTCCATGTGCACTAGAAAAGAATATATATTGTGCTGTTGTTGGATAAAATGCTCTGTAGATGTCTATAAGGTCAACTTGGTGGATTGTATTGTTTATTTCTTCTGTGTCTTTGTTGAGTTTCTTCCCAGTTGTTCTATCTGTGATTGACAGTGGTGTATTAAAGTCTCCTACTATGACTGGAGTCATCTGTTTGTCTTTTCAGTTCTGTTAGAATCCGGTTTATGTGTTTTGGGGCTCTTTCATTGGGTGCATGGATACTTGTTATTGTTATGTCCTCTTGTTCAATTGATCCATTAATCATTATATAATGTCCTTTCTTGCCTCTTATGGTGGTTTTTGTCTTAAAGTCAATTTTATCAGAAATTAATATTGCCACTTCTGCTCTTTTATGGTTGCCATTTGCTTGCTAGATCTTATTCCAACCTTTGATTTTTAGTCTATTTTTGTCTTTCTCTCTAAGGTGTCTTTCTTGTAGACAACATATTGATGGGTTATGTTTTTTTATCCAGTCTGCAAGTCTCCATCTCTTGAGTGGTGCATTTAATCCATGGGCATTCAGTATAATTATTGACAAGTATGAATTGTTGTTTTCATTTTCTTATGTGCTTTTTTGTGGTGTCACTCCTTTCTTTGTTCCATATAATTTTCTGTGCTGAGCTCATTTTGTTTATGAGTCATGTTATCATTTCCTTCTTTGCTGTTGATTTAGCATTTGCTAAATGTGCTGGTCCTCTTTTTTATTGTGATGTGATGGTTTATCATTTTTCCTTGAAGTTACCTTGTGTTTTATAATTTTCTTCCCAGCTTTACAACAGTCCATTCTATCTTGCAGTTGTCTTGACTTCCCTACCACTTAGAAGTTCTGTAACTACACAGTTTTTACCCTCTTTTTGGTTTATAGTTAACCTCATTTGTCAATTGATGTCTCTGGTTCCCTGTTACAATCTTGTAGGCTTATTTACTTTGGATACTTTCATAACTGGGTTGGTTTCTGGGTTATGTTGTCATGTGTGTTAATGGTCAGTTGTTGTCTGTTGTTCTTCGTTCTCTGTCCAGAGGACTCTCTTTAGCATCTCTTGTAAGGTTGGCCTGGTTTTAAAAAATTCCCTTAATTTCTGTTTATCTGGAAATGTCCTAATTTCACTCTCATATTTCAGGGACAGTTTTGCTGGGTATATAATTCTTAGTTGGAGACTTTTTTATTTCAGGGTTTTATATATACCATCCTGTTGTCTTCTCACCTGGATCGTTTCTGCTGAGAAATCCAAGTTTAGCCTTATTGGTTGCCCCTTGTAGGTAACTTCATTTTTCCCATGCTCCTTTCAGAATTCTTTCTTTGTGTTTGGTTTTGGTGAGTTTGATGATGATATGTCTTGGTGATTTTCTTTTGGGGTCTATTCTGTTTGGGTTTCATTGGACTTCTTGAATGGATATATTCTCATCTTTCATCATGCCAGGGAAATTATCTTCCAACAAAACTTCAGCAATTTTCTTTGTAGTTTTAATTTGTCTCTTCCTGTTATGAAATTCCGATTACATGTAGGTTATTCCTTTTGATGGTATCCCACATGAACCTTAGGCTTTCTTCATTTTGTTTTGATCTTTTTTCTGATTGATCCC